GTTTAGGAAGAATTTATTTTCACTTATAGTGAAAATAATGACAGGGCAGAGAAATTGACAATCTTGTCATTATATTTATTTGATTTAAGAGTAACTTTGTTCTTCAGATATAATACGTTACAGTGAATGTTCATAGTTAATTATCCTTTTTAATATAAGAATCTTGACAATTCAAGACAGACAGACAGACACACACACAATGTTGGCATTTACAGTTCTTTTTAACATTCAGTTACTGTATCTCTATGAAAAAGAAAAACAATTGTATGTCTGTATACTTTAAAAAAATTCAGGGGGAAGAAGGCTTACAGTGACATATAAAACCCATTAATCTGTATGAACATATACATTCATGGCATTCACAGAAATAATTTGAGACTTCAGACATTTGCATGCTCAATGTTCACTTGCTTAATCTCTCTGTTTTTGTAAGCAGGGAGGGTTTTGTCCCATTACTAATTTCCCATTGCTAAATAGTGTTTGAGCAGGCTAGAAATTTAGTGCTCTGGTGGCTTTTCTGACAGTGCTGGCAGGCTTGTTTATACATGCTTAGCTCTATCTTCAGGGAAACCTCTGTAAAATATAGCCTGTGTGGTATACTGGATAGTATTGGAGTGGGACCTGAGAGATCCAAGTCCCACTTTCCAGTCATATGTATCTCAATGAATAGACTTGAGTCAGTTGCACACTTTCAGCGTGACCTAATTCAAATGGCTATTATGGAGATAAAAATGGGGATGAGGACCCTATAATGCATTTTGAGCTCACTGGAGGAAATATGGGACATAACATAAGAAATTAGTAAAACAATTTGCTGTTCAAATCTGTCACAACATTTTCTGTGTATGTTGCAGTGGTAATGTTATAATTCATAATGGCATAACATAAGAAATTAGTAAAACAATTTGCTGTTCAAATCTGTCACAACATTTTCTGTGCAGTACATTGCAGTGGTAATGTTATAATTCATAATGGTCTTTACTGCCAAGCAGACAGAACACAAAGTTTTGGTTTGTTTCTGGTCATCACTGGTAGGAGCTCAGAGAGAAGATGGAGATGCATCTGGCTGCACTTGCACATGTCCTCGAGGAACATGCCTGGCTAGAAATACGGAATAAATGCATGGCTGTTTGTGTTGGCACATGCTGGTAGCAGACTTTACACAGAACAGCATGGCTCTGCCAGCATCACGTAAACCAGGCTTGTATTCCCTCACTCTGTTGATCCAAGGCCCTGCCCTCTTACTTGGCAGTGGGCCTTTACTGCTGATTTAAGAAACAGCAGAAACAACTATAAAGTGAAGAGTTAAGGTATTAGATGGGACATTTAGATGCCACGTTTTCAGTTTCAGCAATGATTCAGTATGTAATTTCTTCCAGTTTTTTTCTGTTCAGTGGAGGAATTGCACTCATTATACATGTCACAGGCTAGAGACATAGTATGGTAATTAGCTTTGTTGCTGTACACTGAAAATGTATTTTTATTAACTATTTTAACTGTTTTGGAGACTAATTTCCTGGTCCCTCTTGTGCTCTATACTATGGTTCTCAGACTTGGCTTCCCAGATGTTCTTGGACTGTAACTCCTAGAAATCCTGGCCAGCACAGCAAATAGTGACGGTTTCTGGGAATTGTAATCCAAGAACATCTGGGGACCCCAGTTTGAGAGCCACCGCTTTATACCATGAGGAGTACTTCTGCAGTTAGGAGATCTGTTGGATTTTTGTCTGTTTAATTATTGTTATCTGGAAGTATCTGTTTGTTGTATAGGCTGTTTGTTGTGTGCATTCTCTTGTATGTATATAGCTTGGTTAATAATTCCACCTATTTCTGCCAGTTTGATTTTTCTGGCGTTTCTATTTGGCTGAATGCATCAGAGTGGTTGTTCTGTTAGCACCCACTAGCTAGGCAGTAGCTGGCATCTTTATATTGAAATGGTTGGACAGATTCTGCAAAACTTCTTGCTTGCACCATGTACCTTTGGCTCATCATTATTTTATCTCCAATTTTTTTTTTGGTAGGTGATTAAATATACCTTGATTGTGTGCAGGATATAAAATGTAGCAAAAGAAATCTGTGAAAGAAACTGAAAAGATTTGAATGGAATAGGTTCATATTACACTACATTAGATTCATGTTGTAAACCATCCAGGAATTAGTTATGGTACTTGGTCTATCTGTCTATCCGTCCTGGTTTTCAGGATGGCTTTATTATTGTTAAACACAATACATGTTTAACTTTACAGTCAACTTCACAGTATTAAGGAAACTTTGCAATACAACAGTTAAGAGCCAGTGTGAAGTAGTAACTAGTATGTTGGACTGGAACCTCACAGATTCAGGTTTGAGAATATGCTGAGTGGTGAGAACTTGTTGGGTGATTCTGAGCCGTTCATTTGCAACCTGACCTACCTCATAGGTCATCAGGAGGATAGACTAGGGAGGAGGAGACCTATGCACAGGAGTAAAATATGTGTAACAAAACCAAATAATGAATGCAGGGAGTAATATAGATAGGTTTTTTTGGGGGAAAACACCTGTTGAAACTACCACTTCTTTTCTTAGGGCAACATGGCCCTTCAGGAGCCCTGGGGTGGAAACTGCAGGGTGGGGCACATAGGGAGATGAATGGTGAACAGATTCCCAAGCTCATTTGACATTTCTCTTCTTATTTCTTAAGCATTTGCAAAATAAAAGTCCAGGTTTGGAGAGAACTCTAAAGGAGAATATTCTGAAATTAGCACCTTTGTATCAATGATTAAGAAATATTATATTTGTTGCACTTTGTTGAACTTCTGCTAGATTTATGAAATATGAAAGATTGTAATCACGAACTGAAGACAGACGTAATATCATCATTAAAAGTACATAAAGAAAAGAGGGGAAAATGAGTTAAACTGTGCCACTTCTTTCCTCAAGAAAATATAGAAACTTACTAAGTATGACTATGCATCTTCAGTACAGATGTCAACTGATGAAAAATTGGTTTCGAGTATCTTTATGCAGTATTTGATGTTTGATATCCTGACCCACATCCCAGTGATAAGATTTTGTATTCTCTATCAGTTTCTGGGGATGGCTGTATAGCTCAGTAGTTTAAGTATCTACCCGTTGAGCCAGAGGTCAAAAGTTTGATACCACACTGTGCCTCCAGGGAGATGAACCAGCCTATGTGGCCTTGGGCAAGCTGCATGGTCCCAGGATGCTCCTAGAAGAAGGGGGTGGTGAATCACTGCTGTGTATTCTGTACTTTGAAAACCCTGGAAAGGGTTGCCGAAAGTCAGAATTGATTTTACAGCATGCAGTTATAATTGTTATTATTGTCAGTTGCTTGAGCCGAAAACCTAAGTGAAACCATGATTAATCAGTAGGAGGCGATTTTGATCTGTTGATAGGGAGATCAAATGCAAAGGAAGATAGGGCTTCTGTGCCTTTCACAGTTGCATAGAAGGAGAAATTTGGAGATTCTGTGGGCTTAAAGAGAAAGCTTTTATTCTACAATCCCTTTGTTCCATTCATAGGATTTTACAGTAAGAACAGAGGATGTAAACTCTGAAATATAACTCTTCTGTATTGTCTCACTGATTTTTCCTTCTTTTTTTCTTACCAGAAAAAAACCATTAAGGAGAAGGTGTGAAGTATTTGTGTATTTATATTTACTACGTTTCTACCCCACCTTTCCATTGCAGAGTAGCACTCAAAGCAGCTTACAGTTATTAGAAATGAATAAAAACCAAGCAAAGAGAAAATAGATTCATACATAAATTTAGAATCTGATTAGTCTCATAAGGAAGATGGTGCGTATCATCACAATAAATACTGAATAGTTTTATGAGGCAGATGAGAGAGACAGAACTGCCTGCAGTTCTTAGGGGAGTGTATTCCACTTCCCTTTTTCTTCACTCCTCCTCCTGAATCAGATAACCTGTTTGCTACGATTTTTGAGAAACATGGCCTGCTACATCATTTCAGCCTGACAAACTGAGGTCACCTTTAATCAGGGGCTGCTTGATACAAACCAGCTCCTTTACCTCTGGGCTAGGAAGCTGATCTAGCCCAAACAAACCTCAGTCAAGATTGAAGCTGTTTTTTTTTCAAACAAATCACAATTACGGACCACATCCTGTCAGAGATGAACAAGAAATGTTATTCAATTAAAAAATCAAAGTCTCTCTTTTTTTTTCTCTTGGAAGTCACCCCAGAGCATGCAGACCAACCTGAGAGCTACCTTTGTAGTGGCTGCATTTTCTTTGATAACATTAAGAGCCCTCCATCTTTTGCTGTCTTTAGATGTTTTTCTGAGCTATAGATGTGTTAGCAAGGCCATGTGTGCTGATTCCATCCTGTGCATCTTACTGCATGGTCCACCCTCTGTCCATGACCTTTCCTCATTGATGAGCAGGGTTTGGATAGGAGTTCTACTAGCATCCAAGGGAAATGGGCACTGTGATTACAAAGATGTGTAGCATGTCTCTAGACAGTAGGATTTGAGGAGCCAGAGCATCAGTGCCAGCATGTTTCACCACATAAGCCTACACAATAGGCTTATTTAACATTTGTAAATCTGACATATTGAACCAGTGAACCTCCTTTTTGAAGGCTAGACTGAGGGTCCAGAGTCAGAATGAATTGAAGTGAATTTTTACTAGGAATTTACTAAGAAAAGTGGAGAAGGCATAGGATAATGGGAAGGAGCAGTTCAGGGGAAACCTGGGAGAAGTGAAGGGGCCGTAAGAGGGAGAGATCCAGTGGACCAGGAGAGTAGAAAGAAGCAGCTTGGCAGGGACGGAGACAAGTGAGGGAAAATTAGCTGGGAAAAAACATTTTGCTGGCATGTGGCTAGTTATTTAATTCTTAATACCATTGAGTCTACTTTCATTACGTCACTGAGCTCCGTCTTCATAGTATAATGTAATCGCGGCAAATGTTTATATAATTTTTAACATGGTCAGGCAGCTTTAAGTTTTGTTTAATAAGATCCTTTTCTTTCTTTTTTTCCAGGAGATTTCACAGATTTAGATAACCAACCTTAATTCCAGTATGCTTAAAAGGAAACAGAGTTCTAGGGTAGAGGCCCAGCCAGTAACAGATTTTGGTCCTGATGAATCTTTATCGGACAACGCGGATATTGTGTGGATTAATAAACCAGTAAGTCTTAAATACCACTTCTGCCAGCCAATCTGAGCGCGATCAAGCCAAGTTAAGCATTTTTTTGGTCCCACTAACTTTAGCTTGAGAAAACGTGCTTTTCAAAAGTACATTCTCCCCTCAAATCCCTCAATTTCTGTGTTGATTGAGGAGTTCTGGGAAGTGACTCCTAAGCTCTAACTTCATTGCAAGAAACAGGCATGAAGTGGTAAAATCTCGGCCCTTGGATTCAGTGGGACAAATGCTTAGCTTTGTTTGGCTCATGCCGTGCACAGTTTATCTCATAGATGTGTGAAAATGTCTGATTTCTGATACATGTGTTTTTAGTATTGATTTTATTTACAATTTTAATATAATACTTGTTTAATTCTTTTTAGATATTTGTAAATTTACTGTTTTTAGCTTTTAAATATTTTTATTTTAATGCTGTAAGTCACCTTGAGTCCATAAATAAATATTGTGACATAGGTGTGTCCTCTTGGGATTATAGGATTCCAGACCAAGTAAAGGTAAAAGTTCCCCTTGACATTTTGTCCAGTTGTGTCCGACTCTAGGGCGCAGTGCTCATCCCCATTTCCAGGCCATAGATCCAGCGTTTGTCCTAAGACAGTTTCCATGGTCACGTGGCCAGCGCGACTAGACATGGAATGCCGTTACCTTCCCACCGAGGTGGTACCTATTTGTCTACTCACATATTGCATTTTGCACGCTTTCGAACTGCTAGGTTGACAGGAGCTGGGACAAGTGATGGGGGCTCACTCTGTCACATGGATTCGATCTTACGACTGCAGGTCTTCTGACCCTGCAGCACAGAGGCTTCTGCGGTTTAACCCTGAGCGCTACCACATCCCTTACCATTCAGTAGTTCCATATTAATTTGAATGAGTTAATCTATGGAAAAGTAAAGAAAAAGACTTTATTTGCAAACTGATTAGGAGTTAAAATCTTAAAGCCGCCTTCTTTTTTTCAAAGAACAGTTATAGATTAGAAACAGTTGCTAGTAAAAAGAATATGGTAAAACATGTGTCACTTGCTAAGGTTAGGAAATAATAATTATACACACACACATACACATATATACATATACATATATATAAAGCACATACATACATACATACATACATACATACATACATACATACATACATACATACATACATACATACATACATACATACATACATACATACATACATACATACGTGTCTGTGTGTGGCTGAGAAGGCCAATTCAAGAGCGACAATCCCTTCCACACTGAAGAAAAATACAAATTGTCCCCTGTCCAGCTCCCTGATTATGCTGGTTTCGGGACTGCCTCTTTGACTTAGCTTGCTATACAAGTGTCTCTTCAAATGGTTTTAATTATATATGAAAAAATAAATATTACTTCATTTTTTTTCTTACTCTCGCTTTCTTTTTGAATGCAGAAGTTTGTTCCAATCTGTAGGTTGTAGGGTCCCATTAAAAAAATAGTTAAATGTCAAATATCTCTTAATAATGATAATGATAATAATAAATATTATTATTATTATTATTAATAATAATACTGTTGAAAGTGATCAATATCTTGTTACTGTTATTTATTTTTCAGTGGGTACACTCTTTACTACGCATCTGTGCCATCATCAGTGTCATTTCTGTTTGCATGAACACTCCAAAGACCTTTGAGCATTATCCTCCTCTTCAGTATGTGACATTTGCTCTTGATACACTACTGATGTTCCTCTACACAGCAGAGATGATAGCAAAGATGCATATCCGTGGCATAGTCAAGGTGAGTTTTCCAAAAATCATTGTTTTTCGTGAAAACATGTACAAGTATTTTGTACCCTGATTCTAAACCAGATATATGGAACAGACTCTAGAAAATGTTGGACCATACTTCCTGTTATCAGTCGCCATTATCTATGCTGGCCAGGGCTGATAAGAGTTACAGTTTAGCCATACCCTGTTCTCTATCCCAGTTCCAAGTAAATTAGCAAGTTCCACTGATCAGAATGCAACTTAGCTGAGATCATGTTGCATTCCACTCTAGAACATGTTTATCTGACATAAACCATGTTGGTTTTAAAAGCAAAGTTCAGGACCAGGACTTGTTCTACTGTATTGCTTCATTATCAAAATTCCATCTGTTATTGTGTGTGTGTGTGTGTTTTCTTTGTGCTTAAGTGTGTGATGGAGAGAGGGGGGATGAAAGATTCTGCACATCTGCATTTTAATATAAATGATTGGATAATGTGCCAATTATGTGCTAACTTGTGATAGTGGTTGAATCTAACTGAAAAATTATACCACCATAATTCCATGGACATAAATTTAACCAACAGGAATATGCCAATGAGCATAACCAATAGAATTCTGGCCATTATATATTTATCTTTTGACAACTTTTATATTATGACAACAATATTCAATATAGATCAAGAAGGAATTCTATAGTACTTTAGAGATTCCATGTTATACTAGAATAACAGAGGAGCCTCATGGCACAGTGGCTAAACTGCAGCCAAAACTCTGCTCACAACCCAGGTTCTATCCTAAGTAGCTGGCTCGAGGTTCATGTTAAGCAACATCATTGTGTGGTCCAAACAGGGTCATGCCCTGAACCCTTCACAGCATCCTTCTGAATTGATCCTGGCTTGTGTTTGGATCGTGCTGTGAGAGATTGCAAATTTTTAGTTTTTGAGAGATTTTTTTTTAAAAAAACCCAAAACAACAACAAACCCAACAGAAAGATCACCGTTTGCTGTTGGTGGGATATGACCGTGTCAAGATTCCTGAAATGTTCTTGTAAGTCAAGTCCTGTGGGTGATGTAGGTATGTCCAAACCAGTGGTTCCCAACGTTTTTCTCGTTGTGACTCCCTTTTATAATATCCAAGTAACCTGCAACCTCCCCTGTCACATTTGTGAAAGAAAAAGGAAGGAAAAAAAAGAGAGGCATTTTTAATGGGGTAAAGTCATCCTTTCCCAGACAGTAGAGACTTCTTTCTCCCCCCCCAAAGGGCATGTTTCTCATACATACACATACACATTAACTTTAATATCCATCTCTGAAAGGTCAAGGAAGAAATTGTTTAACAAGGGCTACAATGTATAGAAGGTGACCCATGACACTCCAGAAAACACTTTGCAATCACATTGGGGGTCAAGACACCCAGGCTGGAAAACACTGGTCTCAAGCAAGAACAATAGACCAGAAGCAGAAGCTATGTCTGATGTAGATACAAATATGTGTCTGGATGAGTTGCCAAGTTTTGGTGCTCACCTTGGATGCAGTTGTGTGAATCTAGATGCTGTGTGGGACTATTTGGACTAAAGCTGGATTTTAGCTATGGAGTGTATTAAGGGTTATGTTGCAAGAAACAAAGAAAAGAAGATGAGAGGTTGAATTATATTTTCTGAAATGAAATAGCTGAGCCATTCTTAATAAAACCACTTATCCTATAGCAATTATTTGTTTCCATTTATCAGAGACATTGCTTCTCATTTCTTCTTGAAAGATTTGGTATTAATTTCTGGTAATAAAGGATGGAATATTCAGGGGTTTATCTAAATATATAACATATTTGATTATGGATGCCTGCACCACATTTTTAGGGATAGAAATAGTGATTTGTTTTTGCAATCATATCCACGTCAGCAAGTGAGTACATTGCTTCTAGTTGTTTTCTATCTCAGTGTTTACTGTCTTTCTTATCAGACATTTCTTAGAACCCATTGACAGTTACATTTAACAATGTGCAAAATCATACTGTTTCATAAATGCAGCTAAGTCCCCATGCTTAGTATTTGATGTAATATTTCATTATTTGTCATAAGTAGTTTAGAATTGGAAACAAACTCAAGTATTCTTTAATTTCCTTCTGAAAACTAGTCAGTGACAATGCTGAAAAAAAATCCTTGAAATTATCTTGCTTTTAACTGTGACTGTCCTATATTTTGCTTCCTGTAGAACATTTTAGTTTAGAGCTGAGAAAGGTAGAGAAAAAGGGCAACTAGAAGGAATCAAGAACTGGAACAACTCTCCTGTGAAGGAAGAGTACAACATCTGGAGCCGTTTAGCTTAAAAGTAAGGTGAATAAATTTCCTATTAGAAATATATAAAATTATGCATGGTATGGATGAAGTATCAGGACAGAGTGCTTTTTCTCCCCACACCATGATACAGTGGTGCCTCACATAGCGAGGTTAATCCGTTCCGGATTAACCTTCGCTATGCTGAAGCATCGTTGAACGGGGCAGGGAATTCCATTGGAACGCATTAAACATGGTTTAATGCGTTCCAAATGGGCCGAATACTCACCGTTCAGCGATGCTTCTTAATGGCCGGCAGCCATTTTTGCGCCCTCCCCTCGCTTAACGAGGGTGCGAAAACGCTGCGCGTGGCCATTTTGGGCCATTTCCGGGCTTCCGGCGGCCATTTTGGTCGCTGAACAGCTGATCGTCGGGGCTTCGTTTTGCGAAGATCGGTAAGCGAAACGCTTAGCGATCTTCGCAAAGCGAATTTTGCCCTATCTAAAAAAGTTGAGCGATCGAAGTAAGGTGAATAAAGGGAGACCTATTAGAAATATATAAAATTATGCATGGTATGGATGAAGTATCAGGACAGAGTGTTTTTTTCTCCCCACACCATGATACTAGAACCTGAAGTCATCAATTGAAGTTAAATGGCCGAAGAATAAAGATAGGTAAAAAGAAATAATTTTCAAACAGTCCATATCTAAAATGTGGGGTTCAATGCCACTTGATGTGATGGCTGCCAATCTGCTTGGCTTCAAAAGGGAACTGAAATTAATTCATGGCGATTAGGTCCATCAGTGACTACTAGTCAGGATGGCTATGTATCAAAAGGCAGTATCAAAAGCAGTGTGCTTCTGTACTTCAGTTGCTTGGGAACAGGAGGAGATGGAGGGTGTGGTTGCACTTATATCCTGCTGGCAGGCTCCCTGTGTGCTGCTAGTTGGCTGCTGTGTGAACAGAATGTTGGACTAGATGGAACTCTACTCTGATACAACGTGGCTCTTCTTATGCAATTAATTAGCAGTGAATGTGGTACTTTCCTATGCAACAAACTGAAGTCTGAATCATTCTGACTTTTTTTTTCAAGAAAGCATTTTAAAAAACAACAACAGAAAGATGGGAATGCACTTATTTGTGTATTTTTATTCTACAATTATCCCCCATTCATTCCACCCTGGCTCTTGCAGCAGCTTGCAGCAATTTCAGACTATTCTTTCACTACCTGTGTTAGTTTGAGAGACTTCGAACAGCACCACCTCAAACATCAGTTGCACTATTTGTTTAAAGGTTCAGAGACTTAATTGTGGATTCAACAAGGAATTGCCGAATTTGTTCTAGAAATCTGAAGAAGGAACACTTCCTTTTTTGCAAAGCAAAAGCGAACGTTACATCTAAATCAGTACCAGCCCAAGCACAAATCTGACTTCATAGGAATTGGGTTGTTATCACATGATGTAAGTCACAAAAGAGCTCTTGACACAGTGCAAAACTACTCATTTTTATTTAATGCTCTGTTTAGCAGTGTGTGCATCTTTTTTGAACTTGTAAGAGCAGTCATGGATAAGGTGTATGGCACCAAATGAGGATAAGATGTATAGCATAAAATGAGGACAACATAATTATCTGAAGGACTGTATTCCCCCCCCCCCCCCCAATATGGGCCTTCCATGTTTTTAAGATCAGGGGAAGATTTTCTCAGTTTCAGCACCTTCCCAGGCTGTTTTGTCGAGGACATCAGCGAGGGCCTTCTCGGTGGCTGCACCCAGACTTTGGAATGCTGGCTTCCTCCCTCTTGGCCTTCTGTCAGGCAGACACTTTCCTCTTCAGGCAGGTTTTCAAGCATTAAGCTAGGGGTTTGAAGAATGCTTTTTAAATTGACCTTAGAGATTGTTGAATGTTTCTAAAATGTTTTTAATTGTGGTTTTGGTATTGATAAATGTTTAATTGTTTTTAGTACAGTTGTTAGAGTGTTTTCAATTATGATCTTTGTATAATTTTAACTGTTTGTGAGGTGCCTTGGTTTCCCCCTTGAGGATAAAGGCAGAATAGACATAACATACATACATAGAATAAAGAAAGTAAATCCATTTCCTTCATGGTACCATCCCAAAAACAGTTTCTTTCCAAAGTCTCCCCCCCAGATAGCAAGTTCTAGAAAAGAGGATTTTTGTCAAGATGCTGATACACAGGAAGGTTCGCTTCTTCTCTGGCTGCTATTTTAATAATTTTTATGTGTATCTGCAAAGTATTAGCTTAAAACGAGAGTGAGAAAAATTCCATTTCTGGGCTTTAGCTCCTATGATAACTGAGAAGGTCTAGGAGTTATACCCAAAACAGTGCATTTAACCTAATGTATATTTTGGCATTTGGTGCGCATATGAATGTGACAGACAAGTTTCCATAGAGTCTTTATAATAATGGCATATCTGTTAGCAGAACCCAGCTCCAAAGTCACAGTGTTTATTCCATGTCTGCCTTTGGCTGTTGAGCAGGTGCAAGGTAGCCAAACACGGTGGAATTCAAATCGTATTGATATAATACAAGTTGGCAGGCCTGTGACCTGATCAGCATAGGGACATCTTTTGTTAATGTGTATCTACTTCTCTTGCCAATGTAGCCTTTTATTCCCTTGACCCATGCCTGTAAGTTACTGCAATGGTGTGAAATCCTTTTAGTCAACTTTAGTTGCCAAAAAATGCATCTTTTTTTAAAATAAAGTTCAGCTGGTAGAAAATGTTGTGATCCAGGTTCTA